GTCACATATTTTGCTATCACATAAGGGGGTTTTCTAACCCCCCTATGTGATAGCAATAAAGTTTCCCCCCCAAAAATGTAAAGTTACAAATAAAAAAGAATTACATTTTTTTTAAAGTCCCCCCCATACATACACGCATGCAAACAGGCGTCGGGTGCGCATACGTGTGAAAACGACGATTTCGCCCATTACGCCGCACATGTTACATATCGCCGCGAACGTCGGAATGAGAGCAATAATTGTAGGGCTATCAATCACTGATAACACTAAACTGATGAGCGGTAAAAGCTTTTAAAGCGTCACCTATGGTCAATTTTGGGCATGGTCATTTGTTGCGATTTTGCGCGTGCGCGCAATTACATGTTTGGGGTCTAGTTACCCGACGTGACCCCGTCTTTTTATATTTTACCAAAAATATGGGTGATAAATGGGTGTGGTTACTGGGGGTGTGGCCAATAAAGGGTGTGGCCACTGAGGGGTGTGGTGAATGAGGGGCGCTGTAAAGCTTTCTCGCACAGGGCGCCTAAAGGCCTAAGGCCGGCCCTGCGTGAACCCAATAAGGTTGTGCTCAAAGAGATGAAAAGGGGGTTGAAGAGGTATCCTTTCTGTTAGGTCAAAAGATAAGTTTAGTTTGAGAAGCTAAGAGGTAGCTGAGGCATTAGCATTAACAGGGATATTAAAGTCTCCAAGAATGATAGTGGGTATTTCAGAGGAAAGAAAGTGGAATAACTGTCCAGGTGGTCAGTTCATAAATCAGCAATCTTCAGAGAAACTCAAAACTGGAGAAGAGCAGAGAAACAGGTGATGGAAGAACTTAAAAAGTGTTTTGTAAGAATAAAAGGATTTATTCTTGCCCCCTTGGTCTGGGCAAGTGAGTTGTGGCCACCGGTGGCAGCAGGAAAGGCAGAGTCAGATTCTTAAAGCCAGGTTTCAGTTATGGCAAGTAGGTTTAATGAGTTGGAGATAAAAAGGCCATGGATACCATAAAATCTTTAAATAAAGAATACATTAAAAAAAAGACCCTGGACAGAGGTAAGCTTGTTACAGACCGAGCGGGCATTCTCAGGACACATGATAAGAGGTCACTGGTGTTTGGAAGCATAGGGAAAAGAAAATAGAGTGTGTGGATTTAATTTGCTGCCCGAGGAAGCGGGCTGCCAGGTGTGGAGGTGAATGTTAGATAGCAGAGGTCCAGGATTGGGGGAAATTAGGAAAAGTCGAAATTAGGAAAAGTCGAAGGGTAAGGGAAATGTGATGGGAGCTAGTTTTATATGAATACACGTCTCTCTGTCCTGAAGGTTATGTCAGCACAATGCACTAGCTTTGTCTTTGTTTAATAGAAACTGGACCACAACCTTAGCTATGCCAAATGCCTGAAGCATCTACTTGGTTCAGATTATAGAGACACTGAATCACAGTCCATTATGCCATCTATTTTAAGGCTCAACCACCTTTACTGTGCCCAAACTCTAATTACCCCTTATTCAATATGTTAGTCATACTAAAGCTAAAATTGCTTGCTTTGCATTGGCAAGGCAGCCACTAAGTGATACATAATCTTGTCTTCATTATTAAAGACATGAATAATCACCAGCTTCATTTTGATCAGGCTGTAAATCTAGTATTGTCATTAAAGTGCATTTGAGCATGAAAGTACAATCCACCTCAAAGTGTCTCCTGGGTCAGTTCATACACATAGCAATGAAGGAGACAGGGAGTGGACACACAGACCTAAGGGAGAAAGGGAGAGAGAAAGGGAAAGAGAAAGGGAATAATGATCTGGCAGGGAATACCATGCCTAATTGTTTTGTTCCTTTGGAAACTGGATCATGAAACTGTCATCTAATGCCTATGGGCATCTTAACATTGCTCATTGTGTCACATTATGTCAGCCTTTTCAAAAGTTTTAACACCTGTCTAGCCTATCTGACAAGAACTAAGCTGCAGTTAATTTTAGACATATTGAGGTTAGAAGAGCTTGCTTTGTCTTGGTCACTCATCAGGCCACTGGCTATTTCATTTGCTATGACAAACCTGTCACCTTGACACTGGTCATTATCTCATCCATATTAAAGGATAGAGATTCCTGCAGTACAACTGGAAGAGGAAGGGGCAGCTGTAGGGCCAAACATGTGCATTGCATGCACGTGTGAACGTGCTGACAAGAGGTGAGAGCAGAGTGATGACTTGAGTGTACTGCTGCTCTTTCACGGTAAAATCACAGGTTGGGAGTGGAGAGGTGACCTAGCTACTGCCTGGCAAGGCTCTGTAAATCTCCGGGCTGGATAAACAGAAATGTATATTCTTTGGCAGGTGACACCACTCCCACACATATACAGCATGTCAAATGCGTTTTGTAGTTGTTTGCCTGGAGTTCAGCTTTTAAAATATTATTTACTACAGTACTTGTTTTCCCTGCATACAATGTTCCACATATTTTTAGCCTGTTCATATCTTCCATTTCCCTCTATTGGCATTCAGCTTGTTAGTATGTCATTTCAATGAAGTGAAGACTTTTTTTCGATCAGCAATGTGCATCATCTCATTGCGTGTACTAAGTACAGACACACCTAGTTTTAGCAAGCTGCACTTAATTAGATGAAAAAAACAAAACATTCTTGCCACTCTTGGTGAGCAGGGGAGGATCAAGGAAAACATTTTTTTTCATCCGATGCTTGGCTGTCAACCCAATGCTTGTATACAGCTTTAATGTTCCCCCTCCCCTTCCTCCACCACTGTTACCAGCTATCCTGGGCTCTGCTCTCCACCATGTGGCTTGCGTGGGAGTTTGATGCTGGATCAGAAGGAGATCAGCACACTTTCAGTAACTGAACTCCCCTCCAATCACTGAAACCAAAAGCTATGACGATTTTGTCACTTCCGATTTTACGCTGTAATTTCTCGGTCTCAGAGCGGCATTCGGCTCAGCTATTCTGCTCAGTACCTCTGTGGTACCGAGCAGAATAGAAAAAGTAGACAAAAAAGGAGAAAATGATTGGGCGGAGCTAGCATTGACAGTTAGCTCTGCCCAACTGTTTTATATTGGACGGGACCAGCTGTCATTACAATGATATCACGGCGGCTCCGCCGAGTTCTCAGTGTGTAATGACAGTCCAGCGTCCCCTGTTTACTAGGTAACCAGGAGATGCTGAACTGTCATTACACACTGAGAACTCTGCGGAGCCACAGTGATATCATGGCAGCACCGCCAGGTTCTCAGTGTGTAATGACAGTCCAGCGTCCCCTGTTTACTAGGTAACCAGGAGATGCTGAACTGTCATTACACACTGAGAACTCTGCGGAGCCACAGTGATATCATGGCAGCACCGCCAGGTTCTCAGTGTGTAATGACAGTCCAGCGTTCTCTGGTTACTAGGTAACCAGGAGATGTTGAACTGTCATTACACACTGAGAACCCGGCAGAGCCGCCATGATATCATGGCAGCACCACCGGGTTCTCAGTGTGTAATGACAGTCCAGCGTTCCCCTGGTTACTAGGTAACCAGGAGATGCTGAACTGTCATTACACACTGAGAACTCTGCGGAGCCGCAGTGATATCATGGCAGCACCGCCAGGTTCTCAGTGTCCCCTGGTAACCAGGGGACGCTGATCTGTCTCTGCATGCAAGTGGCCAGAGCCAACCGTGAGATGACGGCTGGCTCCGCCAAGCTGTCAGTAGCAGGTTGTCGGCCGGCCGTTCCAGCTTCGGCTTTCACCTAGGCTCAGTCGAGCCGAAGCATATGCCTTCGGCTCAACTGAGCCGCTCGGCCAACTTCGGGAGCTGTACGGGCTCAAGTTAATAGCCCATACAGCAGCCCTTCGGTTCCACTGAACTGAAGGGGTCATGGGGCCGAAGCTAGCCGAAGGATCAGCCGAAGCTATGGCTAGATCCTTCAGCAGCTTTGTGAATAACACCCATAGTACTAAGTGTCCCCAGTTAGGAATGAACAGGCTGTTAATTCATGAATTTCTGAATTAAAATAAATACAAAATGTAAAACAAAATTAAAATAAATAAAAAATGTAAAACAAAATAAAATTATTAAAAAATAAATAAAAAATGTGTAAAAAAAACTAATGAAAAAAAGCCCAACCCCTCCCTTCCCCCGCATAACATACACATATTGTGGTACACACCATGCACATGCGCTGCAGTGCGTTGTTAGAACGCATCGCAGTGCATTATTTTTTTTCTTTAAAAAAACATTAAATTAACTGTGGCAGTGCATGGCAAAGCTTTGTGATGCATTGCCATGCGTTGTGATACCTTGTGTTGCAATTAAATATACACCTGTATCAACACAAACACCAAAACAATTTATTACATAAGTCGCTTATTTACAGTTTTGCATACCTTCCTTTTTTTACATTTTCGCAAAATGGTGCAATTACAAATTTGCTAATATTTGTTATTTATTAACTCAATACAGTTTTATCTTTTAGATGTAGTCAGAAAATAATTTTTTTGTGCACGGATACTGATTTTGGTGTGTTTTAACAATTGAATTGTGTATTTTTATCGGTTTAATATTAATTTGAGAAACATGTGCGCAATTATCACAGGGCCTACAAATTGAGTATCACCATCTTTTTATTTTACCGGGCCTACGCTTTCAGAAAATATATGGTTTGGGGGGTCTTTTACAAACGCTAGCAACCCAGCCGTTGAAAATCAAATCAATGGGAAAAAATTGCAAAAATGGCGTGGCCAGCTGATTTGAATGTTCCGGAGGGCTTGGCAGCGAAAGGGTTAAATAAAACATTTTCATTACATAACTTATTTTAGACCCACTGATGTCATCACTGTTATGCTATACAGGGGATGGCCCCTACTTCCTGTTTGGGGGACCTGCTTGCACTTGTACAGATAGTGAACTCGTAAGTGCTCCTTTGGAATAAGATTTGTCAGCATTCAGCCCTTGCTCAAGAACTCAGAATGATCTGCCTTTAATGTGTTGTGTAATGATTTAATACATTTATTTACATTTAATCTCATCTAGATATGGTTGCTACAGATCTCAGCCAGACTGTTGCCCAAGACCGTGTGGGTTTAGGATATGAGCATTCTTGGCTTCACCGGCACTGCCCTTCTACCCCGATTCACCATAAGAGGGCAAGAGGATCTGGCCGACTTTTCTCTGGACTCGTGGCAATGAATGTGATCTTTCTGGGTGCTGCCCTTATAAGCAGTGCGATTCTCAGTTCCATGCCTCCGCAGAACTCCCATATCTTCTTGTCAGCGTTGATGCTCTGCAGCTCAGGATGGATACTCTTCTATCTGCTGAGGACACGCAAGAAACCATTTTCTGTTGTAATTCAGGATCACCATGCTGGAGCATTTTGGCTAAGAGGTCAGTAATCATATAGTATATCACCTCCTTCTCATTTAAATCAATCTCTAGTTAATAGCTGGGCAAGGTAAGAGACCTGCCTGCCCCACTCACCATAGCTCAAAATGTTTTTCTTTTGTACGTCTGTTGTTTCCTTGATAAAGTTCCTTACAGAGCTTTGATCTCTAAAGCAGCCTTTCTCAGCCAGAGTTCCGTTGAACTTTATGGCTCTTCCATAGGTTTCTAGGGGTCCCTTGAGCGACAAGGAATATCTGCCTACCAGTAAAGTAAGTACTAACACAAATGATCTTTTGGGCTATCTGTTAGGGGGCCATTCTTCCCCAAAAGCACCAGTGTAAAGGGGTTCTTCTCCACCAACCACTTATCTAAGAAGACACTCCTTCACTGACCACCAATGTAACTGGCACTACATGGGGACTTCACTGGCCATCAATGTGAGGGAACACTGCAATTTTCACACTCTTCCGTCAGAGTTTCTTTTTTGGCCATTATTAAAATTTGTATAATGTCATTATTATTACTGAAATAATGTTGGGTCTCAAATACTCTAGGTATGCCATATTCTTTATTCATTAATTTATTCTCTTTTCAACCAGTGTGCTGTGGCACCCTAGTGTGCCTTCTGGCTTCCTGAGGGGTGCCTAGAAATTTTAACCAGCACCATGTAAACCACTGACACTAATCCAGGAAGAGTGGGATCCATTCAAAAAGTTCTCCTCTGTCCAAGCCTGCTTTGCCTCTTACCCTCTTTCATGCTGCTACAGTTGTGGCTTCTGATCAAAAGGGGCTATGTGAAGGGGGCTTCTGATGTGAAAAGGCGGGGTCCTGATGTAAAGGGAGGGCTTCTGATGTTAAGAGGTCTCCTGATGTGAAGGGGGAGGGGCTCTGTTGCAAAGGCGTTTCTGATTTGAAGTGGGGACTTTTATGTGATGGGAGAACCTCATCTTTATGTGTGTTTCTGCATGGTATCCTTGCTGAAAATCCATGCCAGACCTCTATCTGTAATAAGGGTCTGCTATGGGTTTTGGTGGGGCAACACGTTTTTTTTACATTTATGTTTTTTATGTTTTGGACTCGGGTGCCTCAAGATTTTGCATACTTTTATAGGGTGCCATGATCAAAAAAAGGTTGAGAAACGCTGCTCTAGCAAAGTTTATCTCCAAAGTTAAAGTATATGTAAACCGAATCAGTAAAATCTCATATAAATCTTAACATGTTAAAGCATATCAAAACAAGAACATAAATATAATATATTGCAGCTAACCAGTCTTTAGATGTGTTGGTTGGATACGTTTTCTTTTTTAAAGTTAAACTAATCTGAAAAGTAATTTTAAATATGTTTTAACCTGCCAATTTAATAAAAATCATACCTGGTGATCCTGCTATAAGGTCCATGTGCAGGCACTTCCTGTTATGGGGTGACAACGCTCTGTCCCTGGCTGGCTGCCAGTTTTTCTCCTTCATTGTCCCCCTGTCACACACTCTCCCAAAGGAAGCTACAAGCAGCCGTGCCAACCTTTTAGATTGTAAGCCCTCACGGGCAGGGCCCTCCTTACCATCTTGTCTTGAATGGTATTGTAATTGTAATGTCTTCCTTACATTGTAAAGCGCTGCTCAAACTGTCGTCGCTATATAAATCCTGTATAATAATAATAAATTTATATAGCTCTGACATATTCCACAGTGCTGTACAGAGAACACTGAGCCAGTTACACCAGTCTCTGTACAGAGGAGCTTACACTCTAATGTCCCCCCACAGTCACACACTATTATTATACATGTATATAGCTCTGGAATATATCGCAGTGCTGTACAGAGAACACTGAGCCAGTCACAACAGTCAAGCTTGGAGCGGTAAAAGTTAAAAAAAAAGGGGTGTAACAACAAAGGGAAATGGAAAGGGTAAAATTATACAGCAATCAATGCAGAATACCACCAACTATAGAGCACTACAAATCCCAGCAATAATACATTATACAGCACAATGCAGAATACCACCAGCTATAGAGGAATACAACACATCCTAGCAATACATTATACATACAGTGTATAATGTATTGCCGGGATTTGATGGTACATTATACAGCGCAATATACCATTTGTGATGCTTCCTCTCTATGGTGGGCTCTGCAGGGGTCTCAGGTGGGCTGGTCAGGGCTTCATCCCCCTCTCTCCCTCCCTCCCAGCTCCTCTTACCTGCTCCTGGTTCCTGTACACCTGGCCTCCTCTGCTGCCGGACTGGAAGTAATGTCACTTCCGTCCGGTCCCACATCAGACGAGCAGCTGTGATCCAGCAGCTTCGAGACAGGCTGGGGCCCTGCACTGCTAAAGGCAGGCCTTCTCCGGCGCTGCGGGGGCCTGGCCGCCTCCTCGCTTTTCACTGTCGGACGATACTCGTGTAAGGGTCCCGGGCGGGCCCCCCAGGCTGCCTGGGCCCCTTACATGAGTATCGGCCGTACCCCCCTGATGGCAGCCCTGTGGGCAGGCATGGTCCAATGTTGTCTTTATCAGGGAACACCCTGAAAATGAGATGCAGCAACTGCTGGAGCACGTACATGTAGACAGGGAGTGGCTGCAGGAGATCAGTAGCACTGAAATGCAAGATAGGATGAAAAAAAAGTAAAACTATACTGTTTGTTTATTTATTTATTACAGGTATTTATATAGCGCTAACAATTTACACAGAGCTTTACACAGTGCACATTCACATCAGTCCCTGCCCTCAAGGAGCTTACAACCTAAGGCAGGGCTGGATTCCCGGCAAGGCCACCGAGGCCCAGCTTCGGGGCGGCACTGAGCAGAGGGGCGGCACAGGTTTGAATCACCCGACACCCGGAACATAGAGTTAATTGATTAAAAAATTCAATAAATTAAAATTAAAATAAAATAAGAAGAAATAATTGAATAAAAAAACAAAAAAAGTGATAAAAATAAAGAATTGAAAAATTAAAACTAGCCCCACCCCAAGACCAGGTTCCACAATACGACAGGAGGGGTCTATTCACTAAGCTGCCAAAGGATCTATCCGAAGCTTCGGGTGATCCTTCGGCCAGCTTCGGCCCCTTTTTTTCGACAAAAAAATAAATAATAAGCATAGGAATTCATAGCTACATTCCTATTGGCTATTTCAATTTGCAATAGCAAATAGCAAAGTAGCTATTGCACCCACCCACTGCTGCTGTCAATCAGCAGAGGGGACCTGCAGCTCTCCATCAGGTCCCCTCTACTGATTTAGTGAATCTATTTATTTATTTATTTTGTTCTGATGGCAGCCAACGACTCCGATATCAGAAGAAAAAAAAAAGACAACAGAGCAGGGAAAGGTTCAATCGAGCAGGGTAAAACTTTCCCGGGAGAGTTTGTGTTTTTATTTTATTTTTTCATTTTGACGGCAGCAGAACCGCCTGGCCAATAGAAAATAGTTGGGCGGAGCTAGCTGTCACTGTTAGCTCCGCCTAATCGTTTTCTATTCTTTTTTTTCTACTTTTTAAACTTTTTTTCTATTCTGCTCGATACCACAGAGGTATCGAGCAGGAATGCCGAGCCGGATGCAGTATTGTGGAACCTGGCCTTGGGGCGGCAAGGAGAATAAATCCGGCCCTGCGTACAAGCCTGAAGTGAATAGCCGAACAGTGTTCGGCTCACTTCATTTGGGGTCGGTTGTTCACTCGGCTGCCAATGAATCTACCAGCATGTCTTTGGAGTGTGAGAGGAAACCGAAGTACCTGAAGGAGACCCACACAAGCGCAGGGAGAACATGCAAACTCCTTGTGGATAGTGACCTTAAAACAAAGGCTATTATTTAATATGCACAGTGCTTTAGCAAACTAAATGTCATTCACTTATGGTTTACATGTGCTTTAACCTTTACATGGCCAATTTATTACAAGCAGTACCCAGTTCACTTACATAAAATGAAATGAGAGAATACTGTATAGGTAGACCTGCTTGCACTAGCAATGTGACTGAACTTAAAATCAAGCATTAACTATTCTCTTCTACAGCCTCTCTCATTCTGTTTGGGCTCTGTAGTCTTCTCCTAGCTGTCTTCAAAATTGGCTATGATGTAACCCTAATAACATGTAAGTTACCAATGGACATTGTCTTCTCTGTCATGGAAGTCATCTTCATTAGCACACAGGTAATTGAATATAAGAATGTCAATTCATGCTGGGTAAACTAGACAGATTTGTAACTATTTGCAAAAGTTGAACTCCAGCCAAAACTTTTTTTTTTTATAGACTTCAGAATTGTAAATACTTTTGTTGTCTTATTTTGGGGGGTTTTTCACCGCTGCTTGTGACCTTGAGAGATTTAGTCTTGTTTTATTATTGGGAGACTGAAATACACTCATGCCCATAATTAGAGCAGACCTGTGACACTGAAGCTGTCACATAACTGCTCTATAGATTGAGAACTGAGCGATCACATACTGCTGATCAGTTGCCGATCTTCTCCCTGCAAAGAGCGGTGACGATCACCGCTCCCTGCAGGGATTCCCCCTCCCCTTTCCGCTCCTCCAGTGTTGATTGGAGGGATGGATGTGGGAGGGGGCAACCACAGCTGGCTCTGCCTCTAGAGAGGCAGAGCAAGCTGATAATCAGGTGGTGGGGTGGATCCCAACAATATTGGCGGAATCTTTCCTTGCCACAGTCCGGCTCTGTGCTGTCATAGTAAATGTCCTCCTGCGATCCTACAAAGAACTATGAACAAAAAAGTTGGGCAATAGCTCTCTTTTAACTTGGCCATAACTGGTAGATTTTCATATAAACCTTCATGTGAAAAATCTTATCAGAACATTCCATAATGCCATCAAAGCCTTGATGAGTATTGTTCAAAATTTCATTTGATTTTAGAATGAATGGAGTTTCCTGAATGAAAACCACATTCACTGTTAGAATTTCGTTAGTTCAAGAAAAATTCTCCATCCTGCTCCTTCGACTTTGGTTTTCACTACAGTCAAGAACGGCCATCACTTTGGTCCCATTAACTATTAGAAACTTGAACAAACGTTCCTAAATACATTTTTTTAAACTAAGATCTACTGGTGTATGGCCAGCTTTACTTCCTGCTTTTGTGACAGTAGGACAAGAAATGAAGGGAGTGGTTGTCACTAGTATAAGAACACACAGATAATATTAATCTGAAGTTCAAACCTTTCCCTAGTTGACTATCAGAAGTGTTTTGTAGCAGTCTTATTACTGTAGAGAATTCCCATCATTTCCTGTCTTAAAAGAAAATTAGAGTAGATCTTTCCCCATGGTGACAACAGAGCTTATATAAAAACCTGGCAGCTGTTCATCTTCACTTCTACATACCGAACAAAAAAAGGTGGCATGTGAAGCTCAGTGCGTTTGTCAAATCACCAAGCGGAAGGTATTATGATTGTCATAGGTGTACATGCTGTATTTGTAGAAAATGGTAACCAAACTCAAGCAACATCATTATATTACTACTGTGGGGGGCATCACTGGATACATGCATGGGTAGAGTCACAAAAGAGTGCAGTTCATAACTTCTGTATACGGAAAGTGAAGATACCAATTCTTTTTTTACTGGGCAAAACAATAAAAGGTTCATGCCTGAGAAGTGAGCTGGCAATATACAGGGGTGTATCTATGGTAAATAGCACCTATGACAAGCACTGAAATTGTGCCCCAGTCCAAACATCTGACAACGCAGTTCCGACAAACACATACAAATTAGAGCTGCTAGGCCTGTATGGTTGGTGCAGAATAAGGACTGTACAGCACTGCGTACAAAGTGGGGCAGTGTGGAATATAACTTGCACAACAAGGTGTATTGGATGATGTGGCACGCACTAGGAAATGCACAGCATGGGATATGGAATGAGACAGTGAGGAGTATTTAAGGCACAAGCATGGTATTCAGAATAAGGCGGAGCAGAATAGGGAATGTACAGAATGGCAAATAGAGTATTCTAGCACAGATATTTTTGTACCTTAATGTAAAATAAAATATAGATAACTTGATAACAGTTAACAAACATTTGTGAATCTGGTATAAATAACATTCAGTGTTAAAAGCTAAAAGTAGTGTGTGTGTGCAACTCATGATATGCTTTCCTTGCAGACATGTTTTTTGTGGCTTTCATGCCGGGACTGTGTGCAGATACATCATGACGTAACCAGGTGGGTATGTAAAGAGAGAAATGTGAATATCAATATAGCAGGGCTTGTTAACACTAATGGATAAACCCAGCTATTTTCTGTGCCATTTATTGTGGAAAACAAAAGCCAAAGTGGGGTTTTTTCGTGAATGGTACCCATTTATAACTGGCACAGATGGTGTACATTTCAAGCACAGGCCTTTGAACTAACTGTAAAGAAAACTTGTAAGTATATACCTGCTAGAAGTTTTACCAATACTACACAGCACACAAGAAACCTTCCTCTGGGTCAAAGCATTGTACTTTTCACTCTACACAAACAACTACCATACATGACAGTTAATATAAGCAATGTATTTTCTATTGGCCACCATGGAAATGGCTATAGTAATTACACCGGGAGATTTACTCATCCTTTCTATCCAAAAGACACAACAGGAAGTAAAAGGAAATGTGCGGCAATTCCCTTTTAGACAATTGTCACTGAAGCAGGTATCCCAAATGGAAGATGTAGGCATTGATTTACTTAAGGCAAATAGGCGGTTTACTTTGCAAGGGAAATTGCACTTTGCAGGCAAAGATTCCCTTAGCTTGGTAAATATGGTGAAATTTCACTTTGCAAAGAATACCAAATCATGTTCATGGAAAATTTAACAAAAACAGTAGTTTTGATTGCACATTTGGATTGGATGATGGAAGTCAGCAGAACTTCACCTCATTCACTAAACAGAAACTTCTCCTGCAAAGTGCAAATTCCCTTGCCAAATGAACAACCTACAGTAATACCTTGGTTTACAAGTAACTTGGTTTGAGAGCGTTTTGCAAGACAAGCAAACATTTCTGAAAAATTTTGCCTTGATATACAAGCAAATGTCTTGCAATAAGAGCAAAATTTTGTAGAAAAGCGCCACCCGAATAAGGCTGTAGCTGTGTGAGCGATGAGTCTGTTTAACGACAACACAATGTCACATTGGATAGATTCCTTGTTAAGGTTTCACGAAATGAAAAAGATTCCATTGAGTCAAGAGATAGCAGTGATTCCGTTAGTGATAGTGAAAGTCGTCCTACACAATAATCCTTCTCTCTCTCGTCCCCCTCACACCAACCACAAAGGTATGGGTAATTGGTTTATTTGTCTTTATATTTTGTACAGTATTATATTACAGTACAGTATTGTAATCATTTGTATATGAATATTTTTGGGTTGTGGAACGAATCATCTGAATTTCCATTATTTCCTATGGGGAAGTTCGCTTTGATACACAAGCGCTTTGGATTACAAGCATGCTTCCGGAACGAATTATGCTCGTAAACCAAGGTATTACTGTATTTTCATTTACTAAATCAACCCCTTAGCCTCTATTTTGGGGTTCTAATGACAACTATAACATTTTTAGATTAATCATTCTATTGTGGTAACAATGGCCACTAGGATGAATACCAAGGGAGTTCCCCTTAAAGTGAATCTAAATATAAAAACTAATTTTAATACATTGCATCTTGCCAGTCATTGAGTGTTGTGGCTGCATTAGCTTGCTTTTGTCAGTTTTTTTCCTTTATTGTCACCTGATTATCCCTTTGTGTCTGCCCTAATTTCTCCATTGTGTCTATGGTGGCAGCTATGGTTGTCACATAATGTTCAGAACTAAAGGGAGCCAAACCAAAAGGTGAAGAGTCCAAAAGTGTATTTTAATTGTTTCCAATTTAATCAAGCAAAAAGCAGCCAATGCATTTCCTGGGCAACAACACAGCTTTTTTGTCACAGTCTGCTTAAATTATGGGGATGAGTGTTTTTTAGTCACCCCATAATTTTTATAACATAATGAGTTAAGAGGTTTCTTTCAAATCCATTACACAACTAGGAAAAAAACAGCTTGGAGTTTCACTATCTATAAAAATCGATCTGCTAGATTGCTGGAAAACAATTTTCAGTTACTGCTTTAGGTATTAGAACAACTTGTTCTTTGAATTGTTTATGGATGTAAAGATTATGAAGATATTCCAATTAAGATTAGGAAGTTGTGACAGCCCACACATGTAAAAAAAACGGCCACATACAAATCTGTATTTTATATTCTAATTTAAATATACAGTAAGGGCAACACCCAATAAAAAGTGGGGCATTAGAAGAAGAATCTGTAGTATAACCGAAAAATTGTTGTATATGTGTGGGGGAAATGTCTTCATAACTGTTAAAAAATTCAAAAAACTCAAACAAAAAGATTCTGCATTAAGTTTATGTTCGTGTTCTATGTCTGATGTCCCATAAGTAATTCTGGATTTCAAGCATCTTTTAATAGAGAGAAAAAAAGGTAATGACCTTGACATAAAATCAAAAAGGCTTGCTTTTCATAAGAATTCAGCCAATTAAGTCAGTTGGAACCAGTAACATCACAGACTTACCATGTGAATTGATAGATTGTTCATGATAAAGGCAGGGGAGACAGTTCTTCTAAAATGAAAATGTTAATTAACGTGAATGTAAAGGACAATGTTTGTTTGTTTTGAAGAGTAGGAAGTGGTATTTTTTTGCTGTCTGTGTCTCAGCTGGGGAGATTAACCTCCATGAGAGAAAACCTCCAAATGGGGGCACCTGTTCCTATGACAGCTAAAATAGGTATTCAGTTCACTTTGGAAAGGTTTCCTTTTTTTCCTGTTTTCTCTCCAGAACAAGAAATTAAGGAAAATCTCTCAAGTTGCATACATACACTGCAAACAAATATCCTAATAGGCAGGGCCGGTGCTAGACTATTTTGCACCCTAGGCAAGACCAGCTATTTGCACCCCATCTCGCGGCACGACCTCCAATGCCCCCCCACCCCCCTTGCGCAGCCCCATTCTGCTGCGGGTTAGCTTCTGCAGGCAACAGGTGGATGTAATTTAATTTTGAAATAGCCAATAGCAGACCAGTTATTGAAACCCCACCCACTGGGCAGAGGAGCGAACCTGAGAGAGAAAGTTGTCTCTCAGTTATGCTCCTCTGCTCAGTGGGCAGTTGCAATAGCCAGCCTGCTATTGGCTTTTGCAATTTGAAATAGACGGGGGGCGCCTTGGAGGGTGAATGGTCAAGGCTGCGCCCTAGGCAGCTGCCTAGTTTGCATAGATTTCACCCTTCCTTACTCTATCTAAAACTAAAAAATTGAAAATTCATGTCCAAAAACACACTGTAATTTTCCTTTCCGGACTTGTCTCTATGGCAACACACTAGTGGGTTAACCCCTATACCTCTCCTTCAATTAAGATCACATACCAATAAACTAAACAGCCCTCCCAGAGACAGAGTTCTATAACTAGATACTCCTCAGTTTTTAAGCTGGGTGTTGCGAGATGCCATGGAACCATTTTCCAGACATCTTGATGGCATAAATGATATAATTTGAGGAGTTGACTGTAAGAACCTCTTGGCTAAACTCCACTGTGGTAAAACAAAAGAAATCTACATGATGAAGAGAAATGAAAGTGTACAGAGGACCAGAAAGCCACTTTGCAGATGGTCTCTCCAGCGGATATATGTCTGGAGCTGCCCAGGAAGATAAGATACTGCACATGGAGTGAGCAGTCACCTCTTCTGGCACCTGCAGAGATTTAGCTCTATAGGTCTGGTGAATTACTTTAATGATCCATGCAGCAAGTGTTCTGGAAGATGCTTCCTTCCCTTTATTCTTCCCTTGCGGGATGATGAACAGAGGTTTAGAATGCCTGATTGAGGCAGTGGCCTCCAGATAGGCCTGGTTGAAGGAGAGGTATGGGGGTTAACCGTTAGGGACATGAAGACATGGAGACGTCAGGAAAAAAGTTATGGCTGTACATACACTTTTAATATCCTGCTGGCATCCTACTGTTCTATCTCAGCACTCATTTCCGTTTTATGTTTTCAGATGTGGCATTATGCTGTCATTGGCCACCAACTTCCTGCTTTGGCTTATGGCTGTTATAAATGATTCAGTGCACAGAGAAATTGAAAGTTTACAACCAAACAGCACTTCAGGCAAGTGAAGCTTTAAAAAGCAAAGTGACATTAACAAATACCAACTTGTAGGTGGACAAATTGGTAAAAAATAAAATAATTTACAAACAAAAGCAGACTCGATGGACCAAGTGGTCTTTTTCTGCCATCACCCTTCTATGTTTTTATGTTAGCTTTGAAAACCAGGGATACATGAGAATTTAACATTTGTAGCTTCAAATATTTAAACCCAAACTCCAGCTAAAACCTTCCATTAAATTTTGGACAGAGATGGCAAGGGTTAAAGATTTTTATTGCCATCTGTGTCCTTTTTAGGGTGATATTCCCTTGCTTCCTGCCAAGATAGGAAGTGATGGGAAAAGGAGTGATGTCTCTAATGGGAACACAGACAAAAACACATTTTTCTTGGTGGCAAGGATTAAACCTTCAGACAATATTTTACTGCTGTCCATGCCTTCCTTTTTGGATACATGCATGAGAGGAGCTAGATCTCAGATTGTTCACACCCAGTGTTACAAATGATCGTTTCATTGATCAAGCTGAATTGCATCGGTGAGGTTGTTCACCTGTACCAGAGCATCCTCAACAAATGGAGAGTCCCGTGAAAAGTCCAAACATGCAAAAAAGGATCCACACCAATGGTCATAGAGTCCAGAATGTTTTTTGTTATTGAATAATGAAGAAAGAGGGCCAAATAATGTTAGGGGTTCAGACACTTCCCCTTCATGAGGGCTATGACATGTAAAAAGAATATAAAAGTTTATAAGTTAATACAAAATAATACAATTCACCATATAAATTCATACTGAAAAAACTATTTTAAAAAGGAAAGAAATATCTATTTTTTTTTAATTAAAGAGAAGTATTGGGAGAGTAAAATATATTGTTTCCAATACTTATTGCCAGAGTGTGACACTGCAGCTGTCACATGCTGGCTCCAAAATCAAGAGCTGGGCGATCATGTGACCGTTGATCACTAAGCTCACGGTCTTCTCTATGCCGAGAGTCATTACTGTGGTAACTGCACAAGCATTGCTTATGGCAGAGATTCCCCCCTCCTCTCTTTGTTCATCCAACGCTCATTGGAGGGACAGACAGGGGAAGGGGCGGGCACATCTGACTCTAGAGAGGCAGAGCCAGCTTTCAATCAGGCAGCCAGGTGCAGTGCAACTCCGTGCTGTCAGCATATAACCCTCTGTCTTTGGGTCATAGGAGTACATTAGTAAATATACTTCTGTGACCCAAAAGAGAAGTAAAGCCAAAAAAAGTTTGGCTTTAGTTCTCTTTTGATTTTGTAATAAATCCACATAAAAGGTAACCTTCAGTAACATCATTTTGTGTTTTAACAGTATGAAGATGACTTTTTACGTGGCGATATTACAACATTCATTTTTCTTTTAAATAGATTTGTTTTACATTAATAGTTCATAATAAGGATTTTATTATTTCATATGAACTTATATATTCTTTTTAATTGTGTTGTAATCCTGATGAGAGTGTCTGAATCACCAAAATGCTTTAACTCACTTTGTTCATGAATTATTTAAAGAAGAACTCCAGGCAGAAATATTTTCTCAATCTTTGAAGTGGGGCTACCCCCGCACTACGAGGGTTAAGTCTCCTTTTCATCTAGGGACGTAAATGACACATTTATATTCACCTGACCCTCACTGCTGATCCTCCACCATCTCTGCTCCTCCTACACTGTATTGGATGTGATTACTCACAGGACTTTAGACAGCTGGAGCAAAGGAGAAGCGAGGCTTCAGGGACTGGTCGAACAGCCAACTGGCTCCGAGGTTCAGCTGAGTATATCTTTGTTATTTTCGTCCCTAGACGGCAATGAGCAGTTACCCCCTGCAGTGGGGGTATAGCCCCATTTAAGTTGGAATAACGGTCCTCAATAGTGCCACAAACAAAAACTAAAACACTGACAGCAATTTTAACTCTGCACCCTATCCAACATTTTTTTAAAAATGGCTGGCGTTAGACTTAAATGCATGGGTGGCATTGGTTTTCCTGTTTTCTGTTTTGTACAAAAGCTAACCTAGTCTCATCTTCTCTTGTAGATGAGACAAGTGCCTGTTTATGCCTAGAACAATCAATATGTTGGTCCTTTCAAAGAGGATATGTGACGCTGTTTCCATTCAATTTGGAGTACAGCCTTGTCTGCACATCAATGCTCTACATAATGTGGCGGAATGTTGGTAGAAAAGACGTTTCTTCCTCTGCCTCCTCACACCCAAGGCTTCGCCTTCAGGGAGTTCTTTATGGCCCAGTTTTAGGTGGGGCTGCATTGATGGTGGGTTTTTGCATCTTCTTGCAGTATCAGGTGCAGGCAGCTTTAGGAGATGCTGCCCCCATGTCATTTATTCTATATTATGTCTACAGTGTAACTCTGCTGCCCATCATGCTGATCTCCTGCATTGCTGGGATAATCGCACAATCCTTTAAGGAAAAACAGATGAGGGGACAGTCAGAAGAACAAAGTGAGCATGATGAAAACAAAAATGACTCAGATAGAGCAACCAAACAACAAAATAAAAACCTGTGCAGACACAGGCACGTGGAGAAGAGCAAGGATGACGAACAAAGGGGAGTGGATGCAGGGAAGCACAGAGAGCAAAAGGTAGAATATGAATGGACGGATCAGGAAGAATTTGAGGAACACAAAGGAAATCAGGAAGAAAGTTGTGAGAAATGTGAGAAAGAAAGCGGAAATTTCAGTGAATGCATTCCAATAGAGGAATTGGTAAAAGAAGACAGAGCAGACCATATTGACCCCAACCACCATTATAGGACAACTAAGAAACAAATTATTGTTGAAACCAGCCCTGACTTTGCAATGTGTGCCTGTCAAAAACCTAAAAACTACACTCGCAGTCTAGATATAATACTGCTACTGGCAGCTTCTCTTGGACAGTTCTGTATCTCTTATTATTCCATAGTTGCCCTAGTGGCTAGAAGTATATGGAATCTGCTGAATAGCTTAAAACTTGCATACTCAGCACTCATGATCTTGCAACATATATCTCAAAACATCTTTATAATTGAGGGCATGAGAAAAGAGCATCATGGTCCTAGCCACTCAACAACACAAGAAGAAAGCACAGAGGAAGCTTCTCGTAGAATGTCTTTGTTAGAAATACGCAGAGTGTCCTTGGCTTATCTGCAAAGTGTCGGAAGACTCAGTATTAGTCGCAGACTTGTGAAGGAGATCGCACTTTTTCTAGTGCTCTGTAATATAATGGTAAGTGAATAGCTCTACAATGATTCTTAAGTGATATTTTTCTTTTTATTAAAACAAAGTAGTATTTAACCCCCCCTTTTTTTTCTCTTTAAAATACTTTGGTACATGTTGCAAACATACACCGATCAGCCATAACATTATGAGAGGTGATGTGAAGAACATTGATTATATGGTCATAATGGCACCTGGAATTAGGTGGGATACATTAGGCAGCAAGTGAAGATTTTGTCCCTGGAGTTGTCCCTGAAGTTGATAGAAGCACAATAAATGACCAAAGGGCCAAATTGTGATGGCTAGACGACTGGGTCAGAGCAACTCCAAAACTGCAGCTCTTGTGGAATGTTACCGGTCTGCAGTGGTCAGGAGTTCAAGGTGTTGATTTGGCCTCCAAATTCTCCAGATCTCTCTTCAATCGCGCATCTGTGGGATGTGCGGGAAAAACAAGTCCAATCCATGGAGGCTCCAACAACTTACAGGACTTATAGGGTCTGCTACTGATGGCTTGGTGCCATATACCACAGCATACATTCAGAGGTCTAGTGGAGTCCATGCCTCGATGGGTCATGGCCTTTTTGGTGGCAAAAGGGGGACCTACTTAATATAAAGGGAGGTGGTCATAATGTTATGGCTGATCGGTGTATACTGCAGTGTGTTTTCAAAACATCTGTTCCCCGCCACTTACTTTGCTTCCCGGAACTTCCAGGTAAGGCGGCCAATCACTGTAAAGGTCACATGACTGCCATGGAACTACAAGTCCCATAATGCCTTTGCTCTATGGCGCATATGTGACCAGCTTAGGAGTTTAGCTGGCAGTCAATCAGTGTAGGAGAAGCTTGTGATTCAGCCATTCACACTGTTCGGAGCTGCCTAAGCATGTGGACGTACAGAGTGTGGGCACGTCAGGCTGCAATGTGGGGCAGGAGGGTGCTCATCCGGTGGCTCCGGGGGACCCTGGCACCCTATAAGTGGAAGCAGAGGCTGTCATTAACAGTTTAATTCAATTATTTTAGTTTTAGGGAGAGGATAAGAATCTCTGTTTTTTTACTTGCTTGCTGTCTGTGTCCCTCTTAGGGAGGTTTTGCCTCACTTCGTGTACCACTGGATATTGGGGGGGGGGGATCTCCCTTACAGGGACAGGGAGGGCAATACATTCTGACATATTTTCTAACTCTCTTCCACCTTAACCCATCCTGAAATATCTGGTTCTTCATCTAAAATGAAAATAATAAATACAGCCAGTATTATTTATCAAGCAATAAAGACAGTTAAAAAGATTGCTAAAAATGTGAGCCCCCCTCAACCCAAAATATTCACAGCCAAGCAGATGGTAGATATTCAGCACCATTGCTACTGTCCCCGTAACAATCTACCCATGGCTGCACATTGCAAATTGCACATCTCATTAGTGCAAGGAAAGTTTAGAGTTACTGGTGCTACTTGTTCACCTGTGCCATCTGCTGGACATTCCTCATCACTTCAGCCTGGAGCACTCAGCACTTGAGCTGACTTGAACATCCCTTGGATTCTGCTTTTGCATGCCACTTGTTTCTTGACCACACTTAACTAACACCTACCCTGACCTCCATCCTGCCTGACTTTGTCCTGCTACAATTCTGTATTATGTTTGGTTCTGCCTTTAGTAGCTCCAGGGAATGCCTGACACACCAGAGTTGCACCTCAGTAAAAGCCCTCTGCCCCCTTCTTATGACACAGAGCCAGGGCCGTGGGAAGGGTGAGGCGAGTAAGGCACTCGCCTTGGGCTTAGCCGGGGCCGGCCTTTGGGGCATGCTAGCACAGGGCGCTATGACAACAGGGGCGCCAGGCGGCCAACACAGCTCGGCCTTGGGGCTGCAGGGAGTAGAGGGGCAGCACAGCCTGCAGCTTCTCCTCGGATCCCCGCTGCTCTCCCCCGCCTGTTAGAGGCAGCGGGGATCTGTGGAGAAATGGAGCGCTGCAGGCGTCAGGATGGGGGGACGGAGGAGGGAGCTGTCATCCAGGATGGCCGAGTGGTGAGGAGA